TAAACCAACAAAATGCGAGGTTCAACCTCATGGTGGGTGGTTATTGAAAATTGGTGTCTTTTCATACACTGGATCTTCATTAATATCATGCAGCTCACCGAATTGTGGGGATTCTGTTACATATGGAACGTCCACGCTCTGAGGAAGGAGAAGTGGTCGAAACAGCAGCCATTGAACAACGGCAACAACAATAAAAGGATAAATCTCTCGGCGTTGATCAATCTCTGAGGGATGCCCCATGCATTCGACCTCATTAAGTATCGCTGAAGATGAATGAATGCATATCTGGCCTTTACAATGATTCGCGGTGGCCTACCGATGTATCGAGCCAGCACTGCTATCCTCCCAGACAAGGCTGGTACCAATTTGCCGACCCCGGAAGGATGGAAGGCTTGGTGGGCCATGGGTGTAGGGATCGATTCTACGTGTGTGTCACAATGGTGCCTGCAACCACTGCGCCACACGCACTACACAACAGCAATAAGAACGCCCATATGACCCTCGAGTCGGCCAAAGAAGGGCAGTTCGTAAGAACACGTATATAAATGTGAGAGATTATTATGTATCGATAGATGGACTTCCTATAAACTTCGGCGTAATAATCGATATACGTGTATATAGGTTCTTACGAACTTTCTTTCTTTTAGCTGACGCGAGGTTAGTATAGATGTTCTTATTGTTGATTTTGTCGTTCTTCAATTGCCGACGTTTCGGGCAACTTCGCCTTCCTCAGAGTAACGCCGTTGCACTGCCCGTTTGCTGTTCACGAGAGATGATGAGAAAGACATGAACAGAAAGAGAGCGGTGAGTACATTGAACACAGCACTCACAAGCAAGGAAACTAGAGAATTCTTTCTCAGAAGGTAAACCAGCATGAAAGTAGAAACAGAACGAAAAAATCTTTTAATTTAAAAAGAAATAAGTAAAATTACAGAATGGTCTGGGTTGGGCAGCGATAACCTCTATTTTAACATAAAAAGTTGTTCCATGGGGATCAAAAGAGCAATATAACGAATATTACATAAACGGCACTATCCACCCCTGCTATTTTAAAAAAGTGAAGGAATTCTACCTGTCATTGCAGCAAAGTGGCTAAAAGCACAGAACATTTGTACCAGTATCTTTAAGCAGTTTCCAAAATTGCACATATGCTCTTTGGTGGTTTTAATTTACATGAATAGTTCTTAGAGTTATAGCTTTGTAATCAAATAGTACTTATGAAGTTGACTTCTTAGTAGAAGTTACAAAGCACAGAAAGTTCTCACAGAAGTCCAGGCAGAAATCATAATACTGCGTGTTTTGTTATAGCAAAGATTTCCAGTTGTTATGATGGCCTAATGAGAGCTTGCAATACAAGCGGAAATTTAAAATGAAATTGTACTCTTAGTGGAGCTGTAGAACTCCTCATATTGACAATAGGTTTAGGGGCTCATTATTTTGTCATTGAAAACAAAAGCACACATGAAGGACAGAGTTCATTTGGTCACACCATTATTTGGTGGTGTTCGTTGACATTCCTTCCTAATCGTTGCGATAGGTAGTAAGTATGGCATGGAGTGCAGGAATATGGGAAACACCAAAATCCATATTCGATGTGCCACGAAGCGGTCATCAAAGGCGAACAGTTCTGTGCGAGACGGTGGACGAGTTTCTTCTTGTTGCAAACAAGTGGTTAAAATTTCTAAAGACATAAAGATAAAGCAATTCTTCGTATTTTTGCTGAGCAAACGGAAGGTGTTATTATTCTTTATTCACGAATAAGCTGACGTTTCGGCTGATTTCGCCTTCCTCAGAGCCTGGAAAGGTCAAGTTGATAGCAATCTACTCGGTCAGACGCCTCCATAACCAAACAAAGAAACTCTAAACCAAGATTTCAATCACGTTGAACACAGCTTTGCACACTCACCGCTTTCTATGAGGTTTCCACCAAGTTTCCCTATTCATCGTGAATAAAGAATAATAACACCTCGCGTTTGCTGAACAAAAATGCGAAGAATTACTTGATCAATGCCGAGGTTAATAGAAAGTCGGTCGTCGGAGTTACATAACGATGGGTACGAAAGGGTGAGAAAGGATGTATTGCTAACAAGAACGCCGAGGTTTCTAAAACAAAAATACTGAGAAAAATTGAAATATCTAGAGAAAAGTGCGCTAATCAGGCAAGTTCATTTGTACGTTGGGAAGGAAGAGTTTCGAACACTACGTAAATCCAAAGATCTACTCACTTACTTTACCTATTAAGTTCCGTTGTGGAAGAGAGCATCAGATTTTGACGATGCTGATCATTTACGTCTACAAACACTTGGACAATTCTCGTTAGTGCCACCAACAATACCACTAAGCTATGATCCACTGAAAATTTCTTTGTTGTTCAGACGCATTCATTATCTTGGCGAATTGGCA